GATTTTACCTGTCCTTCTGTGGTGGGTAAACTTGGCAGATTTTACCTGTCCTTCTGTGGTGGGTAAACTTGGCAGATTTTACCTGTCCTTCTGTGGTGGGTAAACTTGGCAGATTTTACCTGTCCTTCTGTGGTGGCTTCTGTGGTGGGTAAACTTGGCAGATTTTACCTGTCCTTCTGTGGTGGGTAAATTTAGCAGATTTTACCTGTCCTTCTGTGGTGGGTAAACTTGGCAGATTTTACCTGTCCTTCTGTGGTGGGTAAACTTAGCAGATTTTACCTGTCCTTCTGTGGTGGGTAAACTTGGCAGATTTTACCTGTCCTTCTGTGGTGGGTAAACTTGGCAGATTTTACCTGTCCTTCCGTGGTGGGTAAACTTGGCAGATTTTACCTGTCCTTCTGTGGTGGCTTCTGTGGTGGGTAAACTTGGCAGATTTTACCTGTCCTTCTGTGGTGGGTAAACTTAGCAGATTTTACCTGTCCTTCTGTGGTGGGTAAACTTGGCAGATTTTACCTGTCCTTCTGTGGTGGGTAAACTTGGTAGATTTTACTGGTCCCTTTTTTCTGGGTGAATTTTGCGAACATTGCCTGTCCTTTTGTTTTGGGTGAACTTAGCTGATATTTCTTATCCTCAGATTTTCAATGTTGATGTTATCCTTGTATATATAAGTATCTTCTACCAAATTTGTCTTTTATTTCATCAATCAAATTTTAGAAAGTAAAATTAATGCCACAGATGTTTAATATATAGCAATATCAATACCATGCTGCGGTCGTCATTTCTCCATATCAACCCAATATCTAATGTTAATTTATTATATGTATTATGAGATGCTCATGGTTATATTGTATACCTAGGTTTTCAGTATCGAAGATGGACACCTATATAGTACAATGATTAAATATAGTTCCAATCTCAAAGTCACAAGGTCCTTGCCACAGCCTTTCTTCTTGTCACCCTTTATTAACTCTTTGGTGGATAACACAATTCTTTATACCCACAAACGAAAAGTTCTTGTATCATTTACAATGTCTACAGGAAAGCAGTTCCAATTGAAACATTGAAATGGTAAATTTACTTTTAACTTTAGGATCGCGCTCATTATTTTGAATAGATCAACATTTGTAAATATAATATTTGATGTATGTATAATCTCATGAACAAACTGTGTAGGACATGTATGAAAAAGCCATATTTTTGTTAGTAAGATAGTTATCAGAAAGTCCCTTACATCAGTCAACACTTGACAGTGTTGTAGACCCTGGAGTACTGGGCCAGGTGAGGACTGCTAACTTGAGGAAGGTGTTATTTGTGTTACACATTGAGCCAAGTCGTTGAAGATCAATATTTACCTCTCATTTGATAAAGTTTACCTGAATAATTGATGTCCACCTGGATATATGTGGACCTTCGCCATCAAACTGGATGTGTAAAGTATTGGTAAACACAGGCGAAGAGATTGAAAGCCTCAGGACTTGGCCTGGTCTCAGTCATGATTATAGGATGAAATTTTTAGATAGCTTTTTATGCCCCTGTCCTGAAATAAAGAGATTGTTGTAGTGTCCATGTCCAGCTGTATGTTTGTCCATACAACTCGGTTTTGCTAGCACAGTCTAATACCGTAGTTATCCATCAATGAGCCCATGCCTTATTCATGCTTACCGGTCCATCCATATCTATTGCTATTCTATAGAAATACCTAGAAATAAAAGTCCTTGTAAGCCCAACCTCTCACTTCTATTAAAGAAGTGTTGCCTTTGACCTCCTGGGCTTTTCACAGAGTAAATACAGAACACACTAGTATTGACTTTATTTGAATTAAGTACCACATGCTATGTACTTGAAAGGGTTATGGTGTAAAAATCAGTCAAAATTTCTTAACAGTTAATCACAAATGACATGACGTCTCCTACAAGGTCATGAGAGATAAAACTTTAGTGTTGGCATGCCAAGTTACCGTTACATCTTGGTCCATTTTAACTATTTCATTCATGCAAGATTTGATCTCATGGACCATTCACTTCTCTCACAGCTGTTTGTTTTCTGAATCAACCATCTTTATTTTAAATCAGATTCAAATGATCTTTGTCATCTTTATGTTTAGTTTGTTTACAGAAAATCACAATCACATGGAACACATCACTGTTGCTTTAAAGCCTGTATATACAAATGTGTCAGCACAAAAACATATTGATCTTTTCTGTCTAGCAAAGTACAATGTAGCTTGGCAACAGCGCAATTCCAATGACATTTGAGGGTTCCTTAGTCTCAAAAGTGTTTTAATATGCTGTAAGGTTTTCTTTGTAAATTAAAGCATCTGAGCCATTGATTAATAAACACTGTGGAATTGATAAGTTCAATTTACCACTAATACTGTAAAAATGATGGCCATGATCTTTGCCACATCTAGAAGATAATTAATTTTTTTCATTTTGAGAAATTAAGAGATGAAGGTTATAGAGTCAGGTTAAAGGTCAAATTAATGTTCACCCTGTTTGGCAAGTGATAGACTTTGAGATTGAGATTTTTAATCGTTCATGTATGAAGGTATGAATCCAGCTTATTGTGCTATCAAACATAAAATATTCAGTGTTATTTATTAACTGTATATTCTGAATGTGTGACAACTGCATATAGCATATAAATTTACACCTGTAATGCAGATTTTATGGAAAAATTGCATTCCTATGACTTGTTAGTCTTCTCTTAGGAATATTTTATATATCATTTTACATGGAGATATGATATAATGACATGTAACACAGTTTTACCAGTGTTCAAGAGACTTTGTGTCTCACTTCAACACAACTTTTTCCTCAACAAATGCTGACCTGGCTGTCACCTCTGACCTCAAGGCCTCTTATGTAATCATGGAGGGTCCCTTACAACATTGATAATAATCATTATCCCCTAAGGGTGGTGATTTGTGACCGTTTAACTGGATTTACTCTGATATTGATCAGATCAGATCATAAAACCAGGTCTACCCCCTGGATGATTATAGGGTTGGGTGGACACCCACAATACATCATTGACCATGGTAGGAAGTATAGGCAAACAGGAGCCTATCAGAATCACTGCTCCAAAGATATATATACACAGTTTGAAAAAGTTGCTAGATTTTCGAAAGAGAACATAGATAATATTGTGAAGGGGCAGTGGTCTGACAAATTATAGATAAGTCCTCTTGAAAGTTAAATAACCACTTTGCATGTGCTGATGTTTATTTTGAATACAAAATCAAATGTAAGTTTACATTGAATTCATAGAGTCTTTGAAACTTTATTTCTGAAAGCTTTTGATTTAGATATAAATAAACGTTTAATTTCATGATGATTTCAGATAAAAATTAAACTGACTGACTGTATGATTTCTGATTAGAAAAAATGATCTGGGGACCTGCCAAATAAAATTGTGACCAAATAGTTTCAAGGAACAATGTGTCTCTGCAAAGGAGCTCCTCAGTAGAAGAAACAATACAGGTATTTTTTTTCAATCAAAGAGAAATTTTGTGGAAGATAGTACTATAATGTCCATCATCACATCTGACCAGAAATCTCACTTTAAATTGAAAGCATATTGGAGAATTAGTTATAGGTTTTCTCTGTGAGTGACTCTTTCCCTCACAAGATGAATATCAATATTGTGATGTGTGTGAAGAATTTCATATCTGTTTACTAAACCATGTTGATTACTTGTTACATCACTACCTATTAGATCATCAGTCTATCTGTGTGTCGGGACATATCTATCCTGATGACATCACACCCTGATATAACACCCTGCACTAAAATGACCACTGGCCATTTAGTGTCTGGACTACCATTCTGGTGTAGAAGTTATGATACAGCTTGTTTATACTTCAGTCTGGTCTTTATTGACTGTTGTAAGGGCTCTCTAATTAGACTTTGGAGTCGAGGAGATGAAAGATTTAACCTTACCAGTACAAAAGGTATGTCTGTATCACTGTAGGATTCAGCTTGAACACTTTCTGATTTTTGGCATCAGATACATTATAGAAAAGGTTGCCACGGAAAGAGTAAATTCAACAGACATATGCCCTTAAGTAGAGATGTTTTAGAGCTATGAAACTGGTATTGGCCCTGAATTTTTATGTTTGGAATTTTGTTGAGTAAGCTTGTCTGCTTTGTAGAATAGGATAGGATCCAATATCAAATGTCGACAAAGTGGAAAGCAAGGAGATTGTGTGGTAAACTTGGACGCATGACAGGATGAGAACAGGAAACACAAACAAGGTGTCTACCAAACCTAGATAGAGAGTCCAGTGTTATCAATAAAGACGTTTTCTCCACCCCTTCATACCAAGGTTGAGGAGTAGTAACGGATACACAATCAGATCTTATAGTTTAGATCTAGCCAGAAAGACTATTGGTTCTCTGGTTCAGTAATAGTTTTATCTGCGAAAGGCATTAGATTTGTTATTTCTTTAATGTTACCTGTTTAAACCCTTAAAAAGCCAGAAACCTGTGAAAAATAAGTCATTCAGTATGATTTCACTGCATGTGTACATAAAACACACTTGGTGTACATGTTACAAACTAACAATCCTGGGACCACATTATTTGAGAGCGATTTACTTGTTGTGTAATTACGACATAATCAAACCATTGAAGACTCTTTACTGGTTTAAAGATGAAACTTCTTAGGATGGGCATGTTCCCACGTACCTCAGAAAAAAAATAATGACCAAACAAGTCACTTTGTCAGCTTCAAGATTAGACATAGTTAATACCATCACAGCTAGTTTATCTGTGGGACAATTTAAACAGAAAGTTCCAACAGAAATGTAGACATCACCTTACACACAAACAAGCAACGTCAAATCCTATCAAATTTGATTTTGTTTGTATAATGTAATATTTTATCTAGAATTGTGTGGTTTCTCTATATGTAATGTTATATCTAATAGATCGTTATATGTTGTCTCTCATTTCATACTTGAACTTCCTATTTATTTTTTCATTTTTTTTTCATTTCAGGAAGAAAAGATGAGGATCCTGTTTGACAAGAACAAGGAAGATTTGAAGGAGAATGGTATAAATCTAGAAAGGGATACAGAACTTCTCATCATTGAGGACTTGCCCTCACCAATAGCAATGGAGACCTCAGACTTCAATGGTAGGTCTGATGAAACAATTTCTCCAGATCCTGACAAATCAGACAAGTCTCGCACAGACACTGGTCTGGGTACCTCTGAAGATCTGACCATACCATCCTCTCCTCTCACTGAGGATTGTGTTTCTCCATTGATGGAGGACAATGTGTTTCCTGACCTTGAGGACTCCAACACAGCCTCTCTAACTCAGGAGATTAAACCGTCCTCTGACCATGTGGATCTTGAAGATTCTAAAAACGGCACTGAGAATTCTAATTCTCAATCTAAAAACGATCTAAACAGCTCAGTGTCAAATTCAAAATTTGCTGGAGAGTTGCAAAAGTCTTCAAAAGAGTCCTCTGAAATGAACAAATGTAAAGAAGATGATGATATTAAAGAAGACTCTAGCCAATCTAATGTTTCAGCAGGCCTTCCACCAATCATGGAGGAGGTTGCATCAAATATTCCACCAGTCAAAGAGGAGATAACTCCAATCATCCCACCAATTATTGAAGAAGCTTCAGAAGATGTTCCACAAATCATAGAAGAGGTTGCTGAAAATATTTCACCAGTCACAAAGGAAATTACATCAAACATTCCACCAGTCAAAGAGGAGCTAACAAAAAATATTCCACCAATCAGTGAGGACGTTACAGATAGTATTCCACTAATCACAGAGGAGGTTGCAGCAAACATACCACCAATTGTAGATGATATTACATCAAATATTCCTGTTCAGGAGGAATTGTTTCCAGTGGTTGATATTGAGAGTAATGAAGATATTGTTCCAGGGAAATTTGACGACAGTTGCTTAGAAACGCAGGATAAGGATGGTGTAGCTGAGGTAGTCTCCTTGGTTACAAAGGAAACCAGTGTCAACACTGCTGGAGAGCATTCACACACTTCTTCATCTGTAACAACAGAGAATTCTAGTAATGACATAGTGGAGGCTAAGGATTCTCATGACATGAAGAAAAAAGAAAACCCAAATAAGCTCACCATAGACTCTGTTACCGTTAATTCAGATTCGCTTGAAAGTGTTGACCTTCCCGTGACCCCAGGGTCACAGGGGTCATGTGACCCACCAATGACTCCGAGCTCCATGGCAGCAGATTTCACAGTAAGTATTCTTTACCAACTGCATTTGAAATGTATGTCTCCTGAAACTGTAATGATTAGAAATTATGAGATGAAAATGGTAAGGCTGAAAATAAATTCCATCCATTACAGCTATGTTAATTTGACATGAATTCAATCAAAGGTCACGATGATATCAAACTGAAAGGTCATGATATCTTCACCCACTGGACACAGTGATAGAACTACTTTGGGATCTAATATAAAGAAATATTATAAATATGAAGTCATCAATATAACAGGGAATTTATGTCTTTCTCAAACTTTTCCCCAACTAAAAACGTACTTATTGATGAAAACTGGTGCTTAGGTATAAACTTCCTCACTACGCATTGTACATCTCGTCAACTACATTGGCTGAAGTAATTATAAGAAAAGGTTTTTTAATCAATTTGTCTGCTTTCTCTGATGACTTGATTTGATAACCTGTCAAGACAAGCATTACGTCAGTAATGGCTGACCATTGTTTGGTTGTGTGGGACGAGTTCTGACGTAGGAAAATCACACCTTTATGTAGATGTCTCATGTTAATGTTTTTCCGGTTAATCTGTGGTTTGTATGTTGTAAACAATTTGAAAAGGGAATTGAAAGGTTGTACATTAAAAAATGAAAGCTATTAATTTTCTTGTGGCCTCCTTGTAATGTAAATAACCACGGATGGCTGTTTTACTGTATGATGTTTCAGTAATTTTCTTGTCTTTTATATTCGGGGGAAATCTCAAAATGTAAAATTGAAAAAGTGCATTGAAAAGAGGGGTAATTGAAGAAGACTAACACAAAAATAGAAACAGGTTAATCAATGATGGCAGTCTTTTACTGTCAGGTGCCCTGCTATTTAGGGATTGGAGATACTTGATCTAGATAGTAACTGTATCGTCAGATCTCTATCGACCTTATCCAGACATAAAAACGTGAATGATGATAACGGATCGTTTTAACAAAAACAAAACTTTGTAAGACTTTATAGTTCTCATTTCACTAAATTTAGGTATTAGGTATATTTTGATTAAAAAAAACCCAATGTTAAGATTTTGTTATGTTTATCAATGTGAAAAATATAATGGCTGACAAAAATCCAATAAATGTGTAGAAACATTGTAGGTTTGACACTTAATTTAACATGAAAAAAAGAAAGATATTCACATAATTTTATTAAATTATGTACGTATGATGTTATAAGCAGGAAATATTTTAAGTAGAAAAGGAATCTAATGGTAACTCTTTACCAAGTAGTTATATATATGTATACAAATTTAACATGCTATTGAGGAAACTGTCTCACCAACAATCAATGCATAAGATTTACATACTTAAGTATGACTACTTTAATAGATCAATTAAACAGAAATTTTAAAAGTGTTTTATACACTTAAGGTTAGATAAATGCTAAAACTGTCATTTCTGAACATGTACATTGATTTTACAGATCAATTCAGACAGGAAATTTTAAAAGTGTTTCATACACTTAGATTAGATAAAGGCTGTCATTGCTAAATATGTACATTTTGTATTTGTTAATTAAATACATACCTAAAGTTAGTGTAAGGATCATTATCAAGTTTATCTAAAATGATCTCACATTTCAATATATTTATTGGTGATCTGAATTTTAATAAGCTTACAGTATGAATTCAGCAATAAGCCCATACTTGCTGATAAGCCCACCCACATGTATCTAAGTTTTATGAGAAATGTAAACCATTACCGGTACTATATCATTGTACTGTAATAACCCCTCCCCATCTATTGATATATATTGGTATATATATATATAATTCAATTAAGAGCAACTCTTTTAGTTGCCATAGTGTTTATATATGTATATAAACTTTCTGCATTTTACAACTATTGCCAAAGAAGCTTTAAGCGTGGGAAATGGAGGTGGGGGGAGTGGGGGGAGTTGGGGGGGGGGGGGGGGGGGGGGGGGGATATAGATACCATAATCCAAACCAAATGATCACTCTTTATCAGTATTAAGGCAGTGAAATGTAAAATATTGAAAATAAAATTTTATTTATTAGGTAATACGATAGTATGCATTAAAACATTTGTTTTTTTCTTAAGGATATATATATATATATATATATGTTATAGAATATCTAGGATATAGGACTTGATTCCACGCATATATGAAAGGAGCATTATGATTTTTTTTTTAAAACAAACTGTTGGTAACTGTGAACAAAATATGACAAGTTTTGAAAATCTCAAACAAATTGTTAACTTGTATATTATTCTGTATGTCACCTAACATGTTCTAAGTACATTTTTGACAAAAACATACCTGAAAACAATGTTTTGCCAGGTGACTTTAAATCTAAGCTGATGATATTTTGTTTCTGTCTTTTATTACATCTCATTTCTTTAGTGTTTGATGGGATGATAAAAGTTTTAAATTCCAATAAAAAATTACGACCATCCAGATCTGGAGGCAGTTATCAAAATAATGATGTATAACCCTTGTAAAATACTAGTGGCAATACACTGCTCTTTTGGTTGATCGATCAAGCGTCAGACTCGTAAGCCAGTGGTCTCGGGTTCGAATCCAAATGGAGGCATTAAAACATTAATGACCTCTGTTACTGATCTATGCGGCCATTATAGTCCAGGCATTGATTTATGTACATATTGAGATAAATACAGAACCACCACACCAGCCAGTATTAATTGAATAATGATAGAGGTTACCAGAGTTCATACACCTTTATCTACTTTGTTACCTGGCTGTGGGCTTTTACCAGCTTGTTTTACTTGCTGATGTTTGTAGGGGGCCAAAGTAGTAAATGGTTAACTCTGGTCTCCCGCCTCTAATGTATTTACTAGTCAGATAACACTCACTACTTACAAGGACATTTATTCATGTCTTTTGTGACGTTAGAAGGTACAAGATGGACAGCTGACATCAAACACATAAGACTTGAAGCATATTAATTGAAGTTTAATTTCTTGGCAGCTATGAAATGCTAAGAAGTCTAGCCAGTCATCCACATTATAATCTTGTATGTAATCCTGTATGTAAATAGTAGTCCATGTCTGCAACACCATTTATTAATTAAATCATTATTAGAAGCTTTGATATCAAAAGACATTTACCATGTACTTTGCTATGTATTATATGTATGTGGATATCAATGCCCGTCGTATTATATATACCTGATCAGTGGAGGTAAATACAGTGTGTACCTGTGGTTCACCTACGAGCCTTCGTCAGTACAGCCAGTATATATGATTACCTTGTGGTTAACGGAATTCTCTCTCAACAATTCGACTAACGTCATCTAATCACCTGCTATGATAGTAAAATACAAAACTCAAACAATAGATATATACGTTGAAGATCAGGCGGGCGAGTGTATTTAATAAGTCTGATTCAGCGGAAGTGAATAATCTTAAGACGTAAGAGGAAATAGTCAAAGAAAAGCTGGCTGTTCTAGAGTCTGAAGTGCTTTACAACTCCAATGTCAATAACAGTGAGAGGGGTTGGTCTGCATGAGTTATACAATTTGATATGTGGTCCTGCACTGATACAGACCATCTACAGGAGAGCAGACAACATGTACTGACGGGTGTTTCTCTATGATGGGATCTTTACAAACATACAAAAACTGTGAAACACTGGATTAATTAGTTAAATATTAAGTGAGTTTACTTGGAAGATATGGGAGCAATGGAACACCAGAATGATATAAAGGTAAATATTGTCAGTAGATTTAATTCTAAAATATCTTAAAAATCAAACACAACAGTAAAGAAATTTTAGTATGACACCTGTGCCAAGGGATTTCAGGCATATCTGATTTTTTAAAGGTTCATTACCTCATAGGTTAACAATTATATTTACTTACTGGAGAGTAGTAAAGAGATATCTCTACCGTGGGGATAATTATAATAAATGCAGGTAATAGAATATTTATAAAGCAGATTTAACAAAGGTACAGGAACATTTAGAGTCAGGGTCAGATGTACAGAGTTTGAAGACATAAATACAGATTATAATCATGTTACTAACAGTGACAATTATAAATTTACAGTGATATGATAGAGACTAGGGGTATTTTTATCTTCCATTTGTGATATGATCTGTTTTTATATGAAATTTAGTTAGTGGATGGGGTGGGGAGGAGGGAGGGTCTACAGAATACCCTCTAACATGGTTCAGTGTGACAGTGGAAGGGAGTCTACGGCATACCCTCTAACATAACACAGTGTGATAGTGGAAAGGGGTCTACAGCATAACCATAACGTAGTAAAGTGAGAGGAGTATGATGGGGGAGCTGTGGGAAGGGGGGTCTAAAGTATACCCTCTACCATTATACAGTGTGATGGTTGAAGTGGGTCTACTTCATACCCTCAAACGTAGTATGGGGGGGTTTGGGGTTAGGGTTGGGGGGTCTTAAGCATACTCTCTAACGCTACAAGTGTGATGGTGGAAGGGATTAACAGCATACCCTCTAATATAGCACAGTAAAAGGAATATGATGGGGGGGAGCTGTGGGGAGGAGGCGGGATTGGGTCTACAGCATACCCTCTTAACATAGTACAGTGTGATGATGGAAGGGGGTCTACAGCATACCCTTTAACATAGAACAGTGGAAGGGGGTCTACAGCATACCCTCTAACATAGAACAGTGTGATGGTGGAAGGGGGTCAACAGCATACCCTTTAACATAGAACAGTGTGATGGTGGAAGGGGGTCTACAGCATACCCTCTAACATAGAACAGTGTGATGGTGGAAGGGGGTCTACAGCATACCCTCTAACATAGTACAGTATGATAGTGAAGAAGAGATTTAGTCAGCACACCCTCTCAATAACAGTGCTGAATGGATGGAAGGGTTTTGTACCATTTATATTGTTCTAACATGCAACATACAAAATATGAAGGATATTGGTGGAGCAATATATAGATTGAATATGGTTACTATTCCAGTACTGAACTGTTGGTAGTAGTACTGTTTATTACACCAACTCTGATTGGTTCAT